ATTAGAGTAGTTAATTTAACCGATTCTTACAAATAATTATTATATTAATACGCCACGAATTCATTTCATAATTGGCTCACAGAGGAATTTACCGACGTATGACTGCGTTGACTGCACTTTTCTGCCTCTTTTTTAGTCAAGCTTTATTTCACAAAACTTATTTATTTAAGTTAGCTATGAAATGTGAGGTTAGTGTATACTATAGGGTGGGGGGTGGTAGTACTTTCTCCGTAATATTTGACGGGCTATACACTAGGGCAAAAATAACAGTCAGTTAGAAGATCCTTTGGCTCACGCCCATTGTATAGTTGTGTGCTTAATTACAAACAAACAAACAATCCTCGTGGACGGAGCGCAGATAGCTCATTGTGTAACTTTGTTTGTTCTAAAACAAACTACAACCCGAAGAAATCTATCAAAAACAGAATATTTCTACCACTTACTTCAAAACACAGTGAATTGGGTCACTATCTACTCCTTTTTATGCTGTTAGCAGTTTTTAATAACAGTTATCTAAATTATGATGGAAAAACTGACAAATAATGAATATTTTTTATGTAGCTACACAATGGGACATTTCACTCTATACACCATGGGATATCGAACTCTAGATTTTAGGGTTTTAAGTCCATAAACTTATCGCTGACCTACTAGCGGACAGTATATATTTTTAAGTCAAAAGAGGAAAATAATGGTAAGAAAGTTGAAGTTTTATGTAAAAATTGGATAAGTATAACCCGATAATTGAAGAGAAATACGCGTAACGCGACTTTGTTAAGCTTGCACCTTGTAATAGCCTAGAAACCAACAAATTACTATACACCTACACCAACAGTGATTTGTTTGTTTGTTTGCAGTGTTACGTATTACAATTTCAAATAGCCTAAAACTGAGTTAAATTGTAATTTAGCTTTAGTAGTTAAATAAATGCTGATATATATCAAATTTTTGATATTTACCAAACAATGATTTATATACAAAAAAATTTTACAAACTTACAAACAATATCGAGTCTTCTTTCTGGTCTGGAACTTCCTTAATGTTTTATCGAGGGTTCACGATGAGCGAATTAATTTCGAGTTGATGTAGGTACAATTCACTTAATAGGGAGCTAGCTAGCTCTGTGGTATTCACTGATCACACGACGATTTTTTTCCAACCGATGAAGTTGGGTAATGTTTTCATAAAAGTACTAGTGTCCGATGTGAATTCACTGAAGTTAAATGGTTTGTAATGTACGAAATTTATAAATATTCCTGGTCAATATATCTGAAGTTCTCGATTACTTAGCGTTAATCACAGTTATATTGTTTGTTTGTTTGTTTTTTAATTATGCACAAAGCTACACAAGGGCTATCTGTGCTCTGCCCACCACGGGTATCGAAACTCGGTTTCTAGCGTTGTAAGTTTGCAGACATACCGCTGTGCCACTGGGGGGCTCACAGTTATAGCTTCCGAGGTTTATAGTACACCAACTATAGCAAACCAATAAAATATACTGTTTTTTTGCGCGGCGCGTTGGTTATATTTATACGTAAGTGGAGTGTTTCTCGAAATTTCAGTTACGCAACAATACAAACGCTACACTAGCGTTTATGTACACACGTATATTGTTCATTCTTACACTCGAGAATCTTCTACAACTTTAGAGAATAGGCGGGAATTTCGCAATACAGATTTAATAGTATAAAGTTATGTCCATTTCTAAACATAAATTTAATTTAAACAAATATCGATATTAAAATAAATATATAATAGTAAATCCGTCACAGAAGTTAAGCACAAAGCTACAAAATCGGCTATCTGTGCTCCACTGATATTGAAACCCGGTTTCTAGCGTTGTAAGTTCGCAAACATAGTGCTGTGCCACTGGGGAATGGGGGGGGGGGACATTGGTTTGAAAACAAAAATGTAGAAAAATGTAATCAGCATCTGACACTACATTACATATAAATAAGGTATTCTGTTAGTTTTTAGTTTTTCTTTTGCTGTTTTAATGAGAACTTTATAGATATTAAACGAAAATTTAATCAGGGTCATAATTAAAATTATCAGCAGAAATGACAATCATTGCATACAGCTTATTGTTGATACCCAAGGGGTCAAGGGATAGCATAGGTTCCTAATACCTTGTATTTCTAGCTGACAGCTTGGGTAAATAATGCTTACAGTATTGCCATCCTTGTATGCTTACCTTGTTTACTATCCATATTTTTAGGTTTTTAAATTCCTAATTTTTTATTTATCTTGTGTCTCAAACCTTAAGCTTGTTTGTTTACTCTTTTTTTTCTTTTTGCGACAACATTTTCACTTTAAGCTAGCTATCTTGTTTCTCTATTCTTTTACGGTCCCTCTTCCCTTTTTTATATTAATTTTTTTATAATCTTATATATTTAAAAAGGGAACTGTTCATAACGCCTATTGCAAAGGGCAAAAAATGGTTGCTAAGCTCTTTCCTAGAAACTCTCAACTTATAAAAGTATGCAGGGGCAAACCCAACATTTTTTAAAAGTATTGTTTAAAGGCCACGAAATAGTTCCACTATGAATAAAGAAAGACAGCAACAAAAGGTTACAAGAATTGGCCAAAGAGTTTTCCTGGGTGATTTTTGCCAAAGAGAAGATGTCATCAAATGGCAAAAAAAAAAAAAGTTGGAACATATTTTTGCATTCTCATTTACTTTTCAGATGCAAACATTCCATTCTGAGGACTTAGAAGAAAGAACAAATCCAGCCTGAAAGTTGCCACCAAGAGAGATAAGAATTGCAGGAAAAATTATCTCATTGTCCAATTATGAACTGCATGAAAAAAATATAGACAATAGACGAGACGTACGCTTTTTGTATATATATAAGACAGACGGCCTCCTTCCCCACCCAAAATTTTTAGCCCTAGTGCTTTATCCCACCCGCCTCGAAGGCGCGCTGCCTGATTTTCTAAGCTTAATGTATGCTCCAGACCCGGTCAAACCAAATCCAGGGCAAACTATAATACTCACGAATATGTACACCCCTCACCAAGCAGCGGGGTTGAAGAGAAGCGGAAAAAAGCTTCTGGACATCCCTGGTTGTCCTTAAACACGTTGAGGTTGAAAGAACGTAACCAAAATTACCACCCAGAGAGAATGAGTGAGTAACGGCAACAATGGAATTTAATTGCAGACAGAGACGGAGACGGACAATTGAGTCAAGCGCGTGAATCGTTCGTTGTGAATTATAGCGTTTGTTTAAGTTAAACTGACTGTGGAAATTAAGTGTATTGCAAAGTTGTATTAAGAAAGAATCAACTAGTTTTATTTAAGGAAGGACTTGTATTGCTGAAGTTTTTCGGAAATAATTTCTACGGAAAATTAACAAACGAACACAGAGACGTAACAATATGCATGCTTTAAAATTATACTTCTCAGTTTGGTTTGAATAAACGTTGAAATGTAGTAGATGTGAAATTTAACAAATTTATTGAGCGTCAAATTACACACCTAGCTCTGTCCTTTTAATAATTGTAATAATAATAAAATGTTAATTTTAGCAGAATTACAATACAACCAATTTTTTTCAGAACATCTTCGTGAATCTTCTAGAAACTCATCACGTGTTACCAGCGTCACAATATTACACGAGCAGCGCTTTTCCATCTCAAGGTCGTTTAAAAATATATAAACCTTATAAAGTACGGTTCTCAGATACTGCTCGCTTAGTTCTTTCTCAACGGCGGTAGTTCGAGTAGTAAGTTTATGTGAAGTTGTTGCGTTCTTTATTTGACCATCGCTGACTAATAGGAAATGGGAGTTAACAGGAATCCTGAAGTAAAATTTACCGAAGTTAGTACAATTTTAATCTTTTTTTACCTGCGTGGTAACTTATAAGGTCTTTAACTTATTCGTTAATTTTACTTAAGTCAGGTTAGAACTTAGAGTACGTTTTATAATTTATTAAACTTCATTCACAAGGAACTTTAGATGTTAAGTTCTTGTCAGTTTGTGAATGAAGTTGAATGGTATTGTCACTGTGTTAGTATTAACATTTAATGATTTGGTAGGACTTGCTCAATTCATGACGTGCATAGTACTGACTACTAATCAGTAATTAGTATTACCTAGTTTTGAAAAAAATAAGTATTTGAAAGAGCTAATAAATATTTAAGTTACCAAATTGCATTCTGAGATTTGAAGTTGAACGTAGTTGAAGGTAGATGTGCATGTTGAGAAACAATTCTGAATAAGTGTACTTTAGTTTGACGCCACTGTAATGTAAATCATATTCCTAATCCTGTAGATTGCGTAAAGATCAGAAATTATATAGCTCCGAAATCTTCCAAACCTTGTCTCCTTCCTGCACATCAGTTATCTTTTCTCCAGTTGCAGGATTGATTGTTGGAAACACCTTTCCACTCACTGACTTATGCCATTCATTCTTGATAAAGATCTGTAATTGTAAAATACCTAATTTTACACCACGTTGATTCTATTGTAAGGCTTCAAACTTAGCATTAACATTGTTAAAACTTTACATTTTATTAGTAACATTCGCAATGTTTAGTTTAGTTTGGAATAAAACCAAAAGTTTTAACGAGAAACTAACTTTTCAATTGCTCTCGACTTACATTACAAGATAATTTACATCTGGATTTCAAAATATTAATTATAAAGAGTAGTTGATGTATAAACTGAACGAGAAACTTTTTTTGTTGCATTACTTCAACTCTGAAGAGACTTATTCATAATTACTTTTTAAAGTAACAAACTGTAAACAAATTGCAATATAATTACGCTCTCCGATGCATCCATAGTACGCCATGCTGAACCCAATTTAAATGCTTCTTTAGCTGCATGCACTGCCTTGTCAATATCTGCCTATAAAACAAATAAATTTTTATAAAGTGTTTATACATCACATAAATTTAAAAACTGAGTCCATATACTTATGAAAAAAGGGGCGGGGAATAGACACACACACACATATATAGTTTATATAGGATCATGTTTCCATTTTTAACTTATTGGTTTAGTGATGTAGTCTTCGAACGTCTATGAAAGAGCTCATCCAGAGATTTAACAGGAAGGCTGCTCAACAGATTTGCCGACTTATTGGAACGAGACAAGGACTACTTGGCTGTAAATATAATTTGAAGTTTTTCAGTAAACTTAGATGTCCAAATATAATAAAGAAACTCGGAGAAACTATAATTCAAAGATAAGCTACATTAACTTTCAATTTAGATTACACATTAAAAAAAAGCAATAACAATGTTAAATTTGGGTAAGTAATTTTGTTTCTGCGGGCTTCTATAATATCACTAGTTACATTCTTGAAAGCAAGAATTTTGCTGCAAAAGAGGGCTTGCAAATTACAATTATTAAATGCTTATTTTTGTTTTATTTTCTAAAAGTATATTGGTTGCTTTTGAATTTTGTATTGACTTGAGTACATTTCAACTTCATCTAGTATAATTTACTTTGATTATATTAGCCACGAGTCGTATCATTATATTTAGAGCCTAGAAACTATGGACTGTGGGAAACCATTTAAAGATTCTTTAGGAGATATGGAAATGGGAATTAAAACTATTCGTTATTATGCTGGATGGGCAGATAAGGTTCATGGAAAGACTATACCAGTAGGTAGGTGAAGCAACTTTGTAGAAAAACCTTATTAAAAATTGTTTAAATATACATTTAGCATGGTGGATTACTTTAAGAAACAAGGTATTTCTTAGGAAACTGAATTTCTCCCATACTCCCTCGCACTTAAATATTAAGTGTCTTACAGTAAAGTACATAAGTTAACATTACTATTTATGATGTAGAATGTATACATTTCTATCTTTCAAAACTTGTTTTTATTTGTTATACTTGCTACTAAGCGTTCTAGGAAACTTAATGTAATTTCTAGGCAAAAACACTTATGGTACCAGCTATTCAAAAATACAAAGTTCTTCAAGGAATATAATAACTGTATTAATGTGTTCTTAGGTATAATTTGTGGTACACTAATTAAAATTTAAGGTTTGTATATCTATTTTTCTTAGTTTGAAGTATTAAAACCAATTTTAAAACTTTATTTGTAACAAATATAATAATTTTCTTATCTTGAAGTATATTATTTATGTAAGCCATGTACTCAGGGTCCTGACTTTTAAGTACTGTGGAAGCATTCTGCCTATATACAAAATTGTGTATCTTTCTCTAAAATGTTCCTTTAAGAATAAACTAATATCCTTTAGATTCTAAATTTAATTTTTTAACATAAAATGTTCTGTAACTTTGGTTTATCTTGGACAATGAACATGGATTATCTCTATTTTTTCCAGATGGTAATCTTTTCAGCTTCACAAGAATTGAACCTGTGGGAGTGTGTGGCATGATTGTCCCTGTAAGAAATTCCTTATGTCATTTGTAGTTAAAAGTAACATTGATCTATGTAGTGTAATTCTTTTTCACTAACCCTTTAAAGCAAGACATTTGGTATCTACAGACTAATCAGGTGTGCCATATCTTATGGCAGAAGTGTAGTCTACTTTTCTTGCAAAAAAAAAAAAATATACCTTGAAATATTG